ATGTCAGGGATTCATGAAAAAATTAAACGATGCAAGACAAATGTGAACCAAAGCTATATACAAGAGTTGAGTGGAACAGAGCAGAGCTCAGCCCTGTGGTTTTAGGGTATGTATGATACCTGGAAAAATACCCTGGTGAGAAGGGAAGCATGGTTGAAGACAACATGCCAAAACTGAAGGGACATACTTCTACCAGGAGCTGGCTTGATGAGGCCACCTGCATGCCCCCTTCTCCACCAATTCAAGACTAACTCCTTGGGGGATTTTTTGGTAGGCAACTATCTGCCTATAAAAATCTAGACAATGGTTCACAGGCTAACCAGTATTGTCTTGTTTCCTTGTGCTCCTCCCAGGCTATATCTACACTACAAAGATAAATAGGAGAAAGAAACAATTTGCGGTATGCAAATTGTGTATCTTTTTCCAATTTACTTCTAAAAGAGGCTTTTCCGAAATTTGGCACATTTACACGGGGCCAAATTTCAGAAAAAAGCCCTCTTTTGGAACATCCTTTCTTCCTCGTAAAACAAGGTTTACAGGGATGCCGACAAAATGCGTCAGCTTTTCCAACTTTTTTTCGGAAAAGCAGATGCATTCCTTGGAAGTGTAAGAGCTTTCCTGGGATACCTCCAGCATTCTGGGAAAGCTCTGCAATCTAGACATAGCCCCGGGTGTTTGTTGTATCCACCTGTTGTCTCATCTTAGACTTTGATCACAAACACCTCGGTGCCTCTGTCTGTACAGCACTTACAACGGATCTCTGAAGGAACTCTAGGTGATACCATTGCTCAAGTAAGTAAAATAAATGTAAGCTTTGTAGAAAGCAAACCATTTCCACTATGGGTGCAAGTTGTCATTCTTGCACAAAGTTTTGCAATAGTTTGTAATAACTCGCATGGCTGGAGATGATCCTTTTTACTGAGAGGTCCTCTCCCCAAACAGTGTACAAAAAGAGGCAGGATGAAAATGAGGACTTGGACTTCTTGCTCCCTAAACCTGCATCCTGGAACATGCTATTCCAGACGGTCAGAGACCATTTGTTCTATTGTCATAGTTATTTTGCTCCCCGACTTGGACTGGGAAGGGTGGAGCCAAGGAGACTAGAACTAAGGAAGGGAACAGGAAAGGAGGCCCAAAGAAATGGAATTTTTTTTTTAAACATTAACCTTGACCGATTTTTGCAAAGGAAAAAAAATCATTAAGCTTTTTTAGCAAGCAGAGCTGGTTTCAGACTGCCCAGTCATACCCACATTAAAGAGTGCCTCATTAAACACGCTACACAGTTATCTTCAATCAAGCCTTTCACCCCCCTTTCTATGTACTATTCTTTCATAATGGGATACTCAGAATTCTGAACACTGCTCCAGCTGAATTTGCACTCACCTCTTGTACAGCACCAAATGATCTTGATTGACTCAAGAGATCTGTTTTAGAACAATTAAGGTCGGAGCCACTAAGGTCTATGTCTATGTATTTCCTTTAGTTCCTGCTTTTGGCCAAACTGGAAAACTTACAGGAACAGGCAGGATGAAAAACCACTAATATGTTTTTACTCATGCAGTGTATTTTTGGGGCCCTACTAAAGAAAGAAACAAAATATAATTTCAGACTTCCCCATAAAACCAGGAAGCAAAGAGGTACCTCAGGTTAGCAAGGTTCACTGCAAGGCTTCAAGGAAACTCAGTTCTTTTATCAGAACGTGTTGACCAGGCTGCAAGTACAGATGGTCTGATCTTTTCTTTCTATTGCCAAATAACTTATGCCTGTTAGCTTCCCCCTCCCCCCGCGGCAAATGTTTTAATGTTACCGTCCACTTTACTTCTATCCCAGGTCACTATCATGGCCAGCATCTTGCAATTTGTAACTATTCAGGCCCAGACTCTACTGCAGTTCTTTAAGTCTCTTAGCATGGTTTTTTGGTTAACAATTTACATGAAACCTAAGCCATTCATCAGTCCATGACCTATTTTGTCCAGGTCCTCAAACAGAGACATAGTAATACTTCTGCTCTATGTGACCTATTTTGTCCAGGTCCTCAGAGACATAGTAATACTTCTGCTCTATTCTGGACTGATTAGACCTCAGAGTATTGTGTTCAGTTCTGGGCACATTTCAAGAAAGATGGAGACATCGGAGAAGAGCAACAAAAATGATTAGAAGTCTAGAGAACAAGACCTATGAAGGAAGACTGAAAGAATTGGGCTCGTTTAGTTTAGAAAAGAGAAGACTGAGAGGGGACATGATAGCAGTATAGGACAAGAAGCAATGGTCTTTAATTTCAGCAAGGGAAGTTTAGGTTGGACATTAGGAAAAACTTCCTAACTGTCAGGGTGGCTAAACGCTGGAATAAATTGCCTACAGAGGTTGTGGAATCTCCATCACTGGAGATATTTAAAAGCAGGTTAGACAGACACCTGTCAGGGATGATATAGACTGTGCTTGGTCCTGCTGTGAGGGCAGGGGACTGGACTTGATGACCTCTCGAGGTCCCTTCCAATTCTATGATTAGCCTCTCTGCCAGTCTCCCAGTTCTTGCTGATTTCCGTTGGTTGTGCCCGGCCCACTGTGCCATTGAACAAGATTATGCCAAAAATCCATTTGAGATATTACACATGCTAATTTCCGTCCCTTTCTCCATCTGCTACCTTTGGACAACTCTTACCAAGTCACTTAAAAATGAGAAATGCCACTCCGTTTATGGTAAGGAAAGAACTTCAGTGTCAGTACACCTTAGTTAAATTAAATCTGTGCCACGAGTTTTGAAAAACAGCCATAGCACATTGTAATGCTCCTTACATATCTCAAGGCTGTCTGAGCACTGTTGGAACTGTGATTCAGTAGAAAAATGTTCTAATATGTCCAGAGAGAACTTTCTTCTTTTTGTTTGTGTGCCTGTTAAGACTGCATGGCTCTCACATAGAAAAACCAAGAGACATTCCAGATGTAGCTCAGCAGAAAAGGTAACTGCAATATTGTCAGCTTAAGGAAGCTGACAGGTGGTTCAATTACACACAAGCAACCTGCCTAAACAGACCACAAAGCCACTTTATAAGTCCAAGGTTCTTAAGAACCACTTCTCTACAAGCTACTGGATAGATTTCTCCCCTCTGAACTTTGCACTAGTACTTCAACTGCATTGTCAGTACGGCATGTGAATGGGTGATAATAGAACTGGTTGGTGGCCAGTTTGTCTAGGCAAATTTTTCCAGTGAAAAGGATAAAGAAGTTATATGACCTTGAAAGAGCATTCCTTGGACATCTAAAGTAAGTATCAGTGCTCTAAAAATATTTTTTTAACTGGCACCAAAACACTTCTTTCTAACTTTAAATAAGCCAGACGGGGGAGCTAGCAAAGCTGGCTTCCCCATCATCACTATGGGAAGATACCCATATCATCCCAACAGTCATCATTTTACCGTATAGAAGGAAATTATGGATCTGCAGATGCCCATTTTTGGGTTTTGAATTTAGGGCACATAAAAGGTGGCAGAATGATAGTACTGGATATGGTCACCTATTTAAAATCAAGAGCATAGACACCGTTTGGGTAGGGAAAATGAAGACTCTCCTATGCTGTTACAAGCAGTCTAAACTATGACCTAATTTGATAGCCTCTAGTACCAGAAGGCTCTTTAATCAATGTTCCCTCCTCCACCCCTAATGAAATTGCTAAAGGGAAGCAATTAGGTCACCCCTCCAATTGTACTATTGAAAAAAGACTCCTGGAGACCACCAGAAACAGACTGGAGACCAAACAACTCATTTCGCATCAGCGTCCCAACCCTGAAGTATCTACCTTTGTTTTCAAGAGAAGGAATGCTCAAGAGATGCAATGAGATATTACAGCCTATTAGTGATATCTAGCGCTTCTCTTGCTTGTCAAGTGTTCTGCTGTTTTTCTTTCAGTTTGCTCAGATTGAGTTTTGCATGTACTGTGAAACAGAGCAAATGGATAAGAGACCCCAAGATAAAACTTTATATAGCATTTGCAATGCAGAGGAAACAAGCAATATGAGATTCAAGATCCATAGCTGGCTATTAATTCATGCTGGAAAAAAATGAAATTAAACAAAAAGCAGGGAGACACCATACATAGAGAATCCAAGTAATTTTATACAGTGAAGCCAGCACTTCTAAAATAAGTGTTTTGGAAGCAAGTACAATTATTTGGTGTAGTCTCATGCCCTGCACATAGTGTGATACTGAAAACTGCCACAAAATACAGTAGCATGAACATAATTTAGAGCTTTTATATAGGAATCTTTTTAAACTGATCTAGATTAATTGAAATCTGTCAGTTTGTTGTGTAGGAGGTCAAAACAACTGACAAATGACAAGCAAAGGGCTGTAAAACAGGTGATGTGGGTTCAGTACCAGGCTTCGTTTGAAGTCTCTGGCATCAGCTGTTTTGGGGCCTGACATGTGGACAACTGATGCCCTGTATAACACAAGTATGCCATGCCAAAGCCCTGAAATGAATATTCTGATTGGTAACTAGCCACCTGTTGAGAAGGCTAGATAGAGTCTATTCATTAGGGTTCATACTGAAGAGATGTTGCATTAGCTGGTCAGCAGGATTCTTGATCACAAGTTGCTCACTTTGAACTGACGTGCATGTACTTTAAAAGAGGCTTGTGTCCACAGATACCATTCATGGCAAAGTTGTTTACCACAGGCCTCATGGGGACTGACTAGTGATGCTGTGAAGATTCCCAGCTATTACCCACACAGAGCTCATTTGCTTTGTTTCTCCACAATAGTAATTATGGAGACGATATATGATGTGGTTCAGAGAGGCTAAATTTCAGAGCAGAACTTCCTCCCCCAATTTCTTTTGTTTTTGTAGTTGTTTAAACTCTTGCCCATTATTTTATTTCATATGACTTCCAGGGATCTGTGAATTTTTTAAAAAAAATTCTGGTTAGCATCAAGTGCAGGAAACACAAGTCCCAACTGTATTATGAATAAACCACAACTTAAAAAGACCAAGAAACATTCATAATTTTTAATTCACACCAGTAATAAAATTGCATTACATTTTTCATAAAATAAATGTTCCAGTTTATATACAGAAAACAGACTGTACAGAGCCCTCCCCCGACCCCAAAAAACTCACAAACATACAGGCAATGCAGTGCTCAGCTAAGCAGGCACAACTGTACATCTAAAATTGTAACTGCTTTGTGTTGGGGGCGGGAAAAAAGTACTACAATGTATATAGTCCTTTCTGGACCAAGAATTAAAAAAATATTGCAGGCAAGCTGACAGACGCCCCTCACTGCTTGTGTGGGTGAACGTCCATCCCACAGTGCTTCAGCAAAGCAGGGTTTGTTATTGAACTTGGGACTCAAAACTTCCATTCAGCTGCCCTTCCTCATAGTCCATCTGACACAAGATCATGTTGTTCTTCAGGAAAAATTTGTCTCCCACGCAAAATCTGAAAGGGTAAAAAAAAAAATCATGCATGTCTAAATGTTAGTTGGCATTAAAAAAGTGGAAGAGCACAGAAGAAAAAATGACAGAGGGTTAAGTCTAGAGATAGTTAAACAACAACAAACAGTCTATCAACGGCACCTTAAAGTCTAACAAAACATATAGATGGTATCATGAGCTTTTGGGGGCACAGCCCACTTCTTCAGACTAAAAGGAAAAGTTACCTTCATTATGAACTATGCTTACCGGATTAGAATTCAGGGAGGCAGGATGCAGCAGATCCTTGGCTGGGAACCAGGAGACCAGAGCTCTATTTCTGACCCTGCCACTGACCTCAAAAGGGCACTTGGCTGGGAACCAGGAGACCAGAGTTCTATTTCTGACCCTGCCACTGACCTCAAACACCTGGGCAAGGCACTTCACCACCCTGTTTCTCTTACCTTTTGTCTGCTTTGCCTATTTACACTATAAGCTCTTCGGTGCAGAGGTTCTTTCAAACTATACATTTATAGAGTGTCTAGCACACGGAGCCCTTATCGGCTGTACACCTATAGAGGTTACTGTAACAATAATCCAACAGGGAAAGTGATAGAATATATCCCCAAATAGACATGAGCTTTTAGATAGCTCTGAAGTCAGGAAAGCAAACAGGTTATGTTACACAAAATATTTGAAATGCTCTATGAGATTCAAATTTCCAGAGCCCCTTCAGTGAGGCGGTGTTTACACTAATTTATAGGCACAGAATGGCTATTAAGCGCATCCTCACCCCTTATGAACAATTCTGAACAATAAATAGAAGTTTCTAGATGACTGGCTGGACTCTGTTAACCTTTGGCTTCATTGAGTGGAATTTAAAGTTCTCTATCTACCATATACATTCTTCTGTTTGTATAGAAGTTGACAGACTTATGCTATTTAACAATATTATTTGATCATTAAGATAAAAAAGTTGTACATGTACTACCTGCAGGGTGCAATTTGACAGCCACTAGCCTCCTCAGATCTCCTGTTTGCTATTGTAGAAATTAATCTACCATTTTAGGGTAACACACACAGTACTCTTCACTGGTCTGCTATTCAAGGTCAGAGTGCCTCAGCACATGCTAATGACGTGGCACAAAGCAAGGCATAGGAGTAACAGCCTCAGGTGGCCTAAGCAAGTGCCACTACTTCAGGGCAGGCACAGGGAAAGCTGGTAGTGATGCCGATGGCCATCTGAAATGCAGATCTATATGGTGCACACATGCCTAGCCAGTCAGGAACTGGCAGATGCGAGCTATAAAGAGGCAAACACATTAGCTAGGAATACAGGAAGGAAATACTCGGCGTGTACAACATGAAGCCCATGAATAGAAGACTCAGCAGATTCACCAAGCCTCCAAAGCCTGCCCATACTACTCTAGTCCCGAGCTGGATGGTGACAGTCTGGGGACAGAAGATTTTCAGCCTCTAGCTACCAGGCCTGAGAGTCTGAATGATAAGAGTAAAAACGAGGAATCCTGTGTTCAACTGTATGAACCCTACCACATCCCATCCTCTCATACAAGTTTCCCTCTAATGGATGCCTGTATGCCAGCTGATGCCTTGCTTATTTTGGCAGTTGGATCTGGAAAAAATGTGCGGCTTCTACAGTGCATGTGATTAGGATGCTTTGTGTGATTTAGTGAAGCACCTAGATACTCCTCTTCTAGTCTGTGCCTCTTTAGGACAGCTCTGAAATTCAGCCAGCTAACTTTTAGCCTGTATTCCAGAAAAGAAACAAAAGCTGCTTCTTTAAGAAGAGATGCAAGTTAAAGCAGCATTGCACACATTCTCCTAAAAGCCGCAGCCTCACCAATCAGTTTGCTGAATATACAAAGCTCCATTAGCCAAGTTTTCCAGACTGCAACTTAAGACACAGCTGCTGACTTTCTGCTACTTAATGTTACTTAAACTGTGACTCTAAAATCCCCAAGGAGTGGGAATACAAAACAAAGTCACTCCACCAGCCCAGTCAACAGCTGCCTTTGCCAAATCTGGTTGGGGTCTAGCGGGAGAGCTAGAAAGCAATTTCTAGGGTGTGGTTCTTTGAAAAAAAATCAGGTAAAAACTAGGCATACTGGGGTCCCATGTTTGTTTCTAACATTGTGTTCAAGTTAGAAGACAGAAGAGGTTTTCCCTAACTGCCAACCTTGTAAACCCAGCATGGATTCAGCAGGGAGCCGAGTTCTTTCTTTTTCATGTAGCACTATCAACAAGAATAATATCAAACGATGTAGCAGGCCTATGTCATACCCAAAGTGTTCCACCTGTGCAAACCCAGGAGTTTTCCTGAGAGCGATGTGCAAGGAAAAGGATCTCAGCCTTTGAGTGCCAAACTGCAAGAAAAGCCAATCTTACGGAGTGAGTCGCAGTAGGAATCCGTGAGACACAAACATTGAACCCATGATGCCATTGTTATAAAGTGACTTGCAGACTAGAATGCATCATGTGAAATCAAGGTAGGAGAGCTGCTTGAAACATCTTAAAATCCTGCTATGCCAGCAGAATATAGTGGCATAAAGGTGATTTAGCAGTTTGACAACAGCTATTTACCTTAAAAATGTACTATGAGTTAGACCCAAGAAATATTAAAACACAACAACAGTCCTGTAGCACCTTAGAGACTGACCAAAAATATACAGCAATAGTAGCATGAGCTTTCGTGGGCACTCACGCTGCTATCTATATATATTTTTTGTTACTCTCTAAGGTGCTACAGGACCATTGTTGTTGTTTAAGGGTTTTTTTTGTTTTTTTTTTTAAGTTACTGACAAACATGGTTACCCCTCTGAGACCCAAAAAATGTGTTTGGAAACAGTGTTTTGTTGCTGTGTTTTATGAGAAGACAGTAGATGGAAATACTTCATACATAGCACTATTAAATAAAGTATCATTTTGCCTTAAAAACCCAGTGGGCTAATCATGGAGCCTGAGGCTCTGAAAAAGAACAGGGTCATACCAATGGATCCCCAAAAACCCTAATTCAGGACTTTGCCTGTGCAACATGGTTCATTATTATGAGATTTGTCACGTGGGAGGGAGGTGCTGAATTCCTGCTAACATCATCAAACAGATAGCTCTTCCAATGCTTTCTGGAGAGCAAGAAGGTATATCAGAAGCATATTAAACACAAAATTAGAAATAGGATTACACACCAAAACAGTAAGAAATACAGTTTGTCTGTAAGACGAGCTAGGTTCTCTGTCCAACACACCAGCCACTAGATGTCACTATAACCTCAGTGGAGTAACACTATTAAACTGGACAGTTTGATTTATTGCAGCTGCCATAGGAAGGCATTCTAGCCCCAAACAAATACTACCAGCTTTGTGTTTGATACAGTGCCTTCAATTAAAGCCACCCAAACTACATAGAGTATGTCATTCTCCTCACACATTCACTGGTGGGAGTCAGTCATAACTCCGCTGACTTCAGCCAAGTTGTACGGCTATAAAACAAGCGTGAGAGGAAAGTAGTTCCGTGTATTTGTGGAATGTTCTCACACATCTAACACGAAATATAGAAAGGTGCTGTTAACACACACGTGAGTGTAAGCTTACACACACAGCCCAGTACTGACTGAAATTCCAGAGCAAATTAATGTGATGCATCTTACTTTCAAGTTAAAAATCAGGTATGTTAACTTGGCTTTGAAGTAACATCCTTTTCTCCCACTGAGCTTAATCATACTTCTTTTCCTCCTCTTTCACCACATGCCCCATCCCCAGTAGTAATTTGTGGTTCAATGGGCAGCCTGCGCAAGCAATGGGAAGTTTTAAAAATGAACACATACTTCAAAAAGGGAGAATATATGCATTGAACAAACTCAGCTTCCAAAAGCAAAATACCATCTTTTTAAACTGCACCGAAATCAAGAAAAGCATGCCCTAAAGTCTTGCACAAAAGAGACCCCCAAAACTCAGTCTTTTATATATACACCAATGAATCAGGATGAATTCACACATCCTTTCATGGGTATATGATTTTCTCTGCACCTTCAGTTAGGTGTGGTACAACCCCATTTCCAGCTATTTCTCCATGCAGGCCCTAGCAAATATGCAGCAAACTAAAGAGATCACTTTGTAGTGAAGCAGCAAACATCAAGCAGATTTCCTTGGGCCAGGAGCAAAAATAAAAAATAGTTTGTGGGGGTTTTGTTGTTTTCTATAATAACCGTGTCCTCACCTCTGGTTGCACAGTTGGCAGGCAAAGCAGTCCAAATGGTAAACATTATCTCTGGCTCTCATCACCATCTCAAAGGCAGGGATCAGTTTACTGCAGGCAGCGCAATTCCCCGTGGTACCAAAGAGCCTGCCAAAGAAGCACAATCATTAGAAGCCATTTTAATTAAATGGTGGAAGCACTAATTAAGTGTAATTAGCAGTATCAAATACTGTATTGCACCAATAAATAGGCATTGCAGTCTTCATTTCGCTGACCAACCTGTGTGCAGGAACTTGGGATAAAACTGCCTGGTGAGCAAACGCCGTTTGTCGAGATGAAACTTCACTTGGCTTGTGAGCCGTGGGCTATTTTACTGTCTAATGGAGAAAAGTGCTAAAAACACTGACAGTGCTATTTGGGGGCTCGCAACATTTTCATCAAAGCGAAACTATTTGCAGGGTTTGTTCTCTGAACATCTTGCTTCCTTCCCCATCCCCCTTACTCTTCATTGTTCCCTAATGGAGAAATCTAAACAGATAACAATGAACCAACTATAATGGGGGAAACACAGAAGACTCGCTAATTTTGCCAACTCTGGCAGGCAAAGCTGCAGCTGGATAAGAGTCTAACTTACCCCTCATCTGAAGACAACAGGCAATAATGTTTTATAAAGCCACTTCTTAACTTTTCTAAGACCTCCACCTCCACCCTCCTGGGAGCCAGCTACACTTCTTACACCAAGGCACAAGCAGCACATTCAGCTGTTCTCTTCCGCTTCCCAGTCCTTGAGGGCAGCACTTCGGCACTAGAAGCTTCGTTGTTTGTTTCATGGCTTCTGCCTTCTCAGACATCTGCTGCTGTGACAGCTCTCACAGGGCCAAGAGTAGGGCTTTATCCCCCTGCCCTCAGAGAAATCCCCGAAGACAAACCAGCGTCACTCCCCGGCAACGGGCGTGGCAGCACGTCTAAGTTAAGACGTCCCGGAAGACAAACCAGCGCCACTCCCCGGCAATGGGCGTGGCAGCACGTCTAAGTTAAGACTATAGGAACCACTTGTGGATGCATGCAACGAACTGAAGATTTTCATCCTAACCTGCGAATAGTCACTGTAGACGGAGTTACTTTCTGCTGCAGAGAACACACGTGATTTCATTGTTCCTGGAGCTAGGGGGAAGGCCCCTTCTTGATTGTTAGCTCAGTGTGCATGTACACACATCTACGTGCATATCCCCCTAAACATATGTGGGGTCTAAGTACCATTTCAAATCTTGGGAGCTGCATCCTACTGATTCTTGCTGGGTCCACCAGTACAAAGAGGCAAAAAGCACAGAACAGAACCACTTGTAGCCCAGCAAAGGAACATCTAAGTTTGATTTCTGAGCCTACAATTTCCTGAACCAATCAGTGCTGCTGATCAGTGGACAGTAATCACCAAAGTGAGATAACATCCTCAAGATAACCATTCCCCTCTTTGGCTCCTGAGCTAGGTTATCAGCTTCTTTTCCATGTGTCTGTAAGGTCTTACTTCTTGTGTCAGATGTCAGAAGAGACACCCATTACTTTTCTGGTACTCTGGGCCCAAAGGCCGCTGTACTGGTTTTATTAGGCAGGGAGTAGACATTTATGCTGCCACTTTCCCCCCTCCCCCTCCCTCTCCGTCTCCCTCCCTACCAAACCAAACCCTTTTACAGTGGGCAAGGCAGCAATAATACCAGAAATATAGAGTGATGTAAGATCTAAATACTCTTGCTCTCAGAAAGAACACCAAATGGTCTGGTAGCACTTTACAGACTAACGAAACGTTTCATTAGTTTATAAAGTTCTACAAGACCATTTGTTGTTTTTTTCTGTCACAGACTAACTAGGCTACCCCCCTGAAGCTCTTGCGTTCAGAGTTCAGTGATACGTTTCATTAGTTTATAAAGTTCTACAAGACCATTTGTTGTTTTTTTCTGTCACAGACTAACTAGGCTACCCCCCTGAAGCTCTTGCGTTCAGAGTTCAGTATGGAACTGGAAGTTCAGGGCTTGAAAGCACTACCCCCCTGAAGCTCTTGCGCTCAGAGTTCAGTATGGAACTGGAAGTTCAGGGCTTGAAAGCTGTACTACAATGCACCGAGAAAAATGGCAAAGCGTTTAAATAAGTCTTACTGAGAAAAATGCACCGAGAAAAATGGCAAAGCGTTTAAATAAGTCTTACAAATGAACATGAAGCAAATGCAACTTGGTCTGTAAGGGCAGGATGCGTATCAGCCCGCCCCTTCACTTCCCTGCAAGGGCTCTCCACATCATGGATGGGAACAGGAAAGTCGTTTTCAGAAGGCTCATGACTCTATATATTTGTTAGCCTCCAAGATGCCCCAGGACAACTTGTTTTTAAAGTGATAGACTCACATGGCTACTCCTCTGAGACTTTCCAAAGGCTCCCTGTCCGTTAGAGATGCTCAGAGAGACTTTAAGAAAGGGCACGCTCACTATGGACCCATAGCAGACAAGGGGCGTGGTGCCAGCAGCAGTCTTGGGATGCCCCTGGGGCCAGCATAGCTACACAGTGCCCCTCATTCTGGATGAATTGTAAATTTATAATCTAGCCTCAAATGTGTGTTTTTGATTCATACAGATGTAATTTCTTCCACTGTCTGAACAGAATGCCATTAGTACAGGAGCAACCATCATTAGTTTCAATTTCTCTGTTTGATAGAGAAGCAGCAGATTAGGAGAAGAGTGATGCTTGCATTTTTAAAACATCCAAATCATAGAAAATGTTTTAAAAAAAATCACTTAACCTCCCTTCCCCTGAAAACAAAAGACCAAGCAAAGCAGTCTGGTACATTAAGTAAGGAGAACAGTGGAAGTTAATCCTAGATTTGTTCCGTGCACGATGCCACTATACTAGCAAGCGCAAAATATCCATTATTCATTAGCATCACAGTTGTGTGGAGCTCAATCTAGATTAAATAAAATAAAGGGGCCCCAGACAGCACTATTTGCATTGTTAAACAGGCATTTTTCTTCACCCTTCAAATAGGATACTTCTCTAAATGGAAATGACGGGGAAGTTTGGACAGATGTTCACTTAACTGTTTAAACAGTTCGCTTAAGAAACATGAAAATGTATGTGGCACTGGATTCACCTGTCTTTTTAGGAGGCTTGGGGTAAATCAAGGATTACACAACTTTAAATGTTTGTGTAAGAGCTAAAATTTATATTTTGTCCAGCTGAAATTATGTTGCCTTTTAATGTCTACCTAAATGTAGCTCCCAGTTTGTCAGTGTACTAATCTTGCTCTCTCCGTTAAATTTTAGAAAGTCCCCCGGTCTCCCTTTTTTAACATATGAACACTTTCTAATTTTAAACACTTTTCAGGGAATGGTTTAAAGCTCTATCAGTAACTATAATTCTCAAGTAGGCCCAACATGTAGCTTTTTGCTGTTGGAAGTGCACATTGAGGTAAAAAAGAAATGCTGCCTTCATGTCAGAATTTGTTTATTTTTTGGCATGTCCAGCTGTCATGTTCAATACCTCTTCACTTGGGAGAGCATACAAGAAGAAGTCTGAGTTTGTTTTTTGAAATTTGGGGGAAGAATTCTCTTCCATCCTAATACATCTCAGTTTGAAAAGAAGCCACAAAAAAGGAGAGACATAATCCATCCTCTGGATGCATTCTCTATAGCAAACCCAATCTTGACACACACACATGGAAAGCTCAAGCATATCAGGGAAATATACCATAAGATCCTCAATATTCTCCCTGGCACGACACCACAGGGGAGGAGGGTGGGAAGAGTCAGAGACAAGAAAGGTTTTTTTTTTGTGATCACTTTTAAAAACTCTTAAAAGTTAGACAACAGCAATTTTTAAGTCGGGAAGAGTCAGAGACAAGAAAGGTGGGTTTTTTTGTGATCACTTTTTAAAACTCTTAAAAGTTAGACAACAGCAATTTTTAAGTACAGATTTATTCTCTCTTATGTAACTGAGGATCTCACCGCTAGTAAATAAGATTAGACAATGCAGATTTAAAATTTAACACAATTAAACTTTTACCCCATGGTAGTGATTATACTTAATGACACACTAAAATCCAGCTATTCTATATTCCGATTAGCTGTTGATGTCATTGTGCATAGTAAAAATTAAAGCTAATTGTCACACAGGAACAGCAGTGAATATGAATTAATTGAGAGGAAAGGAAGGGGATGAAAGATAAAAGAAAGGACACTTTTTCCATACAAAACATAATCAGATGTTGATAATTGTCATCAAAGAACACTGTTGAGGCCATAATTTAGCAACATTCAAGAAGTGATTAGACATTTGTATGGATGCCAACTATATCCAGTTATAATAGTTAATGCTAGCAAATTTTGGAAGAGATTGTGAACCTCATGCTTAAACCAATTGTTAATTTTGGGAGATTAAGTAGTTTCAGTATGAGACTATTGCTTACCATGCTGACCAGTAAGTTATTTTTAACTTGTCCTCCCCTATCTGTTTTGTAACCATTTGGTATCATTTACATTTAGATCATCTCCTCTTTGGGCAGAGACAATTTTCATTCTTGCTTGTACAGAGTTTCACAAAGAATCTGTGAGTAGGGCTCATTGGCACTTCTACAAGTGAGGACACCAATTATAATAAAATTCTTACACCTTCCTCTGAAGCACTTCCTACTGACACTGTCCAGAGACTGGATATGGGACTAGATGCACCATGGGTCTCATTCAGCATGGAAGAGACTACGTCCATTCCTCATACTTTGAGCTCATAGTCACGACAGATAAGCTTGCCCCTACCGCTTCAGAAATAACCTTCCAACAAGCTCGACTCAACTAGCTTACATCAGTATTAACTTCACGTGGCTGATATGGTTCAAACACCACATAGTTTTTAACTTCATGTGGCTGATATGGTTCAAACACCACATATGTTTAATGTGAGCACACAAAACACTGAGTATCAGGGCTGACCTTACCATGAGGTGAACTGAGGTGGCTGCCAGACTGGGGGGGGGGGGGCGCCACTAGGACCCAGAGTGTAGAAAATTGTGTCTGCTGCTAGTGCATTCTCTCTGCTCTGAAAGTTAAGTGTTACTTAAAATTTTTGAACAAGGCATTTTAAGTTGTTAGTTCTCCTTTATTGGGGTAGGT